CTAGAGACAATAATTGATATGGATAAACCGGATGTAATATGCATCACTGAAACCAAACTGGACCCCTCCATAGACAACGTAACATTAGGGCTTAAAGACTATAATATTTGGAGAAAAGATAGGGCAGATGGAAATGGAGGGGGGGAGGTAGCAATATTAACAAAGAAAGGAATTATTAGAAAGGAGTTAGAAATTAATCGGGACCCCATAGTGGAAATGAAAGTAATTGAGGTAGAAACAAATTGAGTAAACATAATAATAACCACGGTATACATGCCACCTCAAACATCGGCGTGGTCACTAGAAAATTACCAGAAACTAATTCAAGAGACAATAAAGAGCCTGGAAAAAGTGCTACAACTTTCGGAAACCAATTCAACAGAAATTCTTATCACAGGGGATTTTAATAGCAAAATCGCCTGGGAAAGTTTCGATCCTAGAGCACAATCTGATTCGTGGAATGGTAAATTACTAGATGTCATAAATGAGCATTGCCTTTTCCAGAATGTAACATATCATACCAGGATAAGAGGGCTAGATAGGCCGTCTATGCTTGACCTAATATTTACAAAGCATAATGACGATATTATGGATATCGAGTACTGTCCTTCTCTAGGAAAAAACGACCATGTAGTGATTAAACTTAAATACTATCTGCTACAGGAAAAAACTCATCGTAAGCAAGGAAAGAAAGGAAAAGTACAATTACAAAAGAGGTGATTATAGAAGCCTTAAAGATTTCTTTGATAACATAAACTAGGAAACACTTCTGGATGATGAGAACCTTGATGTTCAGTATTCAAAATTTTGTGAGATCTATAAAAAAAGGAGTGGAAAAATTCATATCCAAATTCAAAATTGAAGCTAGAAATGGCCAAAAATGGTTCAACGACAAATGCAAGAAAATGAGGGGAAAAAAGCATCTCCTTTGGAAAAGATTCAGAGGGCATAGATCTCAGGCAGCATATGAAAGATATAAAGTAGGAAGAAATGAGTATACCCAAACCATGAGAGAGGCGAAATTAGACTTTGAAAAGGATATAATCAACAAATGTACAAGCCAACCAAAACTCTTCTTCAACTACATAAATAGCAAAATTAAAAGTAGGGATCAAATTAATGCCATCAAAGACAATAACATATATTCTAAGGAGGAAGAAATGTGTGAAATCCTAAATGAGAAATTTCAGTCAGTGTTTGTTCAGGATCCATGCTTTGATATGGCAAATACCCGTAATAACGTAAAGAACATCGGAAATATCATCCTCAAAAAGAATGAAATAAAAGATCTACTAAGAGGATTAGACAAGACCAAAGCAGAGGGACCAGATGAAATTTCTAGCTGGGTTCTTAGGGAATGTGCCGAAGAATTCTGTACTCCTTTATTGTTAATATTCCGAAATTCACTAAGACAAGGTAAACTACCAAAAAGTTGGAAACTCGCAAATGTTACACCCTTATATAAGAGCAGTGACAAACAAAACCCACTAAATTATAGACAAGTTTCATTAACTAGTGTAGTATGCAAACTGCTAGAAAGAATAATTAGAAAACAATGGGTTGAAATGCTTGAAAAACACTGTGATATCAAATGAACAATTTGGTATCAGAAATATTACAAGAAAGAGACGGCTGGGTGGACTGTGTGTATTTAGACTTAAAGAAGGCTTTTGATAAGGTGTCTCATAGAAGACTACTATGGAAATTAGAGCACCTAGGTGGAGTGAAAGGCAACCTACTCGCATGGATGAAAGACTTTCTTCATGAAAGACAAATCAGCATAGTAATTAGAGGAAAGCATTCTACATGGCGACGAGTAACCAGCGGAGTGCTTCAAGGATCGGTATTGCCGCCGATTATTTTTACTATTTTCGTCAATGATTTAGAGTCAAACATAAGCCCAGGTAGTTATCTGAATATGTTTGCAGATGACGCAAAGATACAAAAGAGGGTAACAGACAACGTCTCATGCCAATGCCTCCAAAGTGACATCGAGAACTTATTCACGTGGAGTTGTACATGGAAAATGGAATTCAATACCAATAAATGCCACGTAGTCAGTTTGGAGAAAGTAGAAATCGCCCACTATTCCAATATAAATTAGGGGACGCAGTATTAGACACAGCTGACAGGGAAAAAGATCTTGGGATAATCATAAATAGAAAACTAAAGCCAAATGACCATATAAATTAAAAGGTCCACAAAATTTTAGGACTGATTGCCAACATGAAGAGGGCATTCGTGTATATGGACGAAGATATGGTAAAGAAGATTATTAAAGCAATCATAAGACCAAGTCTTTAGTACGGTGCAGTGGTATGGAGTCCACACTTTAAAAAAATATATTGACAAACTGGAAAGAGTCCAAAGAGCGGCGACAAGATGGGCACCAACCCTGAGAGATCTGTTACGAAGACAGACTACAGAAATTAGGACTTACTACCTTGGAAGAAAGAAGGAAAAGGGGGGACATGATTATGCTTTTCAACTGTATTACAGGAAGAGTGAAGATAGATAAGGATGACATTTTGATCTTGAGCACAAGAAGAACGAGAGGACACAACAAAAAGTTGACAGTGAAAAGAGGTGATAAAAATATAATAGAAATATAGTTTCCCAAAAAGAATTATTGAATCATGGAACAACTACCCAATGCATTGAGTAATGTGCGTGCCAAAACTATGCATAATTTAAAAAAATACATAACTTTAAATATCGCAGGACGGCCGAACCACTTCTTTGTGAAGCATGCTCTTCTCTTTATTTCATAACTAATACGGTATAGAATTCTAACATCTTACACACACACAGTACACACATCATAATCACATATCACTTATATATTATTATATGATAATTTTCGAATTCTAGTATTCTATAACTATTATTCATAATTGAATTCTGTATCCTCGCTCAATTATTCTAATAATTATGCTTATTATCTATAAGTACTCATATTATACTATGATAATATTAAATAACATACTTACTAGATGCTTTGATTGTAATAGTAATACTATACTTAAATACCATTCTCTATAATTAAGAATAAGTTCTAACCTTAATATTCTATAAATATAGATAAATTGTAATGTATATTCGTTATCTTAATAAATTACTTATAGTTATTGCAGTAGCTTAACAATAATACCGTAAAGAAACGACTCCTCTAAAACTAATACTCCAAAACAGCAGTGAATATATAAATCTCGTCAAGTATTGATCGTTCTATCAGTAATATTTCTATATTAGTATAGTACCTACGGTATAAACATAGGTTAGTAAAAAAGAAGAAATTATCAAGATTAGTTACTCATATATAGTATTTAAGTTAGATCGATCCTTGTGCTGGAGATGAAACTATCATCATTTAGTTTTATTGGAAAATTAGTGCGTTAATGTCTGTGGTGTATATATATATATATATATATATATATTATATATATAGTATTTAT